AGCAACGGGTACCCTTCTCTGTGCCTCTGTACCCTGGGACCCCAAACCTGCCTGCTCCAAACAGGCTCGGCCACTCCCGGCCTCCCCCATCCAGACCAAACATGGGCTCTGGTGTGTAAGATCGCTAATGGTCAGACGTTAGTACACTTCGTCTGAATACAGAGAGAACAGATGAAATGTTTCCATACAAAGCACACAAAGTCCCCAGCCCCTGGCGGGGTCCTGAGGGTCACCCAGAGCGGGGAAAGTGGCCACGGTCTGAAGGACCAGCGGAGGGCAGGGCCCGCGAGTCTGGAAGAAGAAGAGCAAATGAAAATCAAGAGAAAGGCCGCCTCGGCCGGCCCCACGGTGCCTCTCACCCACATCTGTCCGCGCCCGCTCCGTGTCCCCAGGTCCTGGGCAGGTCCGCGGCCCAGGCCAGTGCAGCTTCTCCGTCCCGCTGCCGCTGCACCTGCCCAGGCCTCGGTCTCCTCCGGCTTCTCCCTGCCCAGCTCCTTGTCTGAGGGCAGCGGGCACCTGGAACTCCTTCCCGCTCTCACCGGCCCTCCGCTTTCCGTCTGGGCTTCCGGAAGTGGGAACTCTGGCAGGGCACCAGTGGCATGACTATGAGGGGCACCCCCTCATTGCCGTGCTCATGGGGGCACCCCCACGGGGTCCAGGGCCCCCGCACCCCTGCCCGGCACTGGTCCAGGCTGCCAGCCACCCGTGGAACACGAAGCAGGACCCTGCTCCCCACCCACAGCTACTCAACTTAAAATGGGTCCGAAGTGTAAACAGAAAACCCCAAAGGCCGGGGTGTCGCTGGACTTCAGCTTGAGCATCTTTGGGGTGGGACACCAGAGCACAAGCCCAAGAGGAGGCCCGAAGCAGGCTTTGCCAACCGCAAAGGCTTCCGCTCCAAAGAAACGCAGCGGAGCGTGAAGGTCGGCGCGGGCAGAGCCTCCGCCGCCGCCTGGGCAGCCGCCGGGCATCGCGCAGCGGAGCCGCGAGCAGTGAAGACACGGGCGGCGGGGCCGCACGGACTTTGCCCCCGAGGGAGACATCGTGGTGGGCAACCGGCTCGTGAAAAGGTCAGTGGGACTCATCGCGGGGAAGGCGCCGCCTCCCTCCTGGGACTCGCCCAAAGGCCGGCAGGCGCGAGCCCTGGGCACCGGCTCTGAGCTGCGAGCCGCCGGGGGTGCGGCCGCCGCCGAGACAGGATGAGGTGCCCCAGCCATGAAAAGGAGAAACTACATAGGCCACGGGGCGTGGGCAGAGGTCACCGCAGCCCGCTCCGGTCACGGCAGCCCCGCTCGGCACACGCTGGAGACGCCCGGATGGGCCAAGAGGGGTCCGCGCGCACCGCAGCGCCCGAGCGAGCGCCGGCTGGTGGCCCCCGCGGGTAGCGCCTGGAGGCCCCCCGTGGCCGGCTTCCCGCCGGCGATCGCTGGCGCGCCCCACGGCGCCTGTCCCTCCTGGCTCCCGGTCATCTGGTGCCCGCGGGAGGAGGGACAGCACTGCGTGCTGTGTGGAGGGACAGCACTGCGTGCTGTGTGGAGGGACAGCACTGCGTGCAGCCTGTCCGGGAGGGCCCTGGGCGCCAGAGGGCACTGACCGAGGCATCAACAGGGCCTGGCTCCAGCAGGAGGCGCACAGCCGGGCCGGAGCCTGGACGCCCTGGCCATCAGGCTGGTGACACAAGCCCCGCAGGGAAAGACAAGCAGGATCTGGTGTCCCTGGAGGGGCAAACGCACAGGAAGCCTTCGAATGGGAGGGGGTGCGCGTCGGGTTTCAGGGCGCAGCGCTCAGTGGGTGGGTAGTTCCCGGAGCCTAAAGCACAGGTGGGGCTGCGGGCGACAAACTGGGTCCAGGCAACCCTGGGGCTGCGACGGGGAGCTCACAGCTCGGTGAAGCTGGCGCAGCCGCTCCAGCGCAGTCCGGCCCCAGGCCGGGTGTGTGAGAGAGTGACGCAGGGCGCGGCAGACCTCGCCTGTCTCCCCGCTGCGCCCCTCAGCAGCGTCCTTCCTCGATCTGCCTGTTCTGCTCCCCACTTCTGTCTCTGCACCCCTCAGCCCCCTGCACAGTTGCCCTGTACCCCACTTCTTGTGTGCATAAATAAATACATCTTTAAGGCAATGGTATAAAAGAGTAAGTGTGCTCCTGACAAGAGGTACAGCCCCCCACTGTTTCCCTTCTGGTTTTCTCCACCTAGTTGTCCCCCAGGGGACTCCCCAAGTACCAGAGAAAGGGGAGCACTTAGTAGGGGGGGTACCACGAGGGGTGTCCGGGCCAGTGAGTAGATGGGCGGCAGCTGCCTGCCCCGAGGGCCGGAGACGCGGGGCGCAGGGCTGTGCTGGACCGGACGGGGGCTTCAGGTGCAGGCGGTGGAGCCGTCTGCAGCTACACCCAGGTGCTGATTAAGGAAAGCAGGCGGGGAGTCGGCCAGGTGCCCCGTATGGGCGGGGTGAGGGGGCAGGAGCAGTGGGGGTGGAGCCCAGGCTAGGAGGAGGCAGGAGGGCGGGGTACAGAGGCCGCTTGGAGGCCAGATGTGGCCAGATAGTGGACGAGGGTCATCACCACCAGCAACAGCAAAGTCCAGGGTGTGGCCGAGGGTGGGGTGCGGTGGGAGGTCACGGGGCTTGCGGGGTGAGGCAGACTTTGATGCCACCCGAGGATGGGGTCATGCAGAGGTCAGCGGGGGCTGGGGGAAGGCCGGGAGGGAGGGCTGCCCCTGGGCGTGGGGGTGTCTCGGGGAGCGGGCTCCGTGGCGCAGGGTGGAAGGGGGGCCCCGGAGGCTGGAGGGGCGGGTGCGAGGGGGCCGCCCGGAGCCGCCTGCAGCCGGTCCGCAGCACCAGCCCGAGCCCCCACCAGCAGCCCCTCCTTGCGCCAACGAGAGCCCAGGCCCAGCCCCAGGGGGTCCCCGGGTCTTCTCCGGGCAGCCCTCACCTGGCCTCACACACACCCGCGTTCCCTCTCCAGGCGGTAACCACAGGAGAAAAGACTTGGGCGACTGGAAACAGGACAGAAGGGACAGGCCGGCACTGTGGGGGCCGGGGTGGACCTTGGGGGTCAGGGCCACCCCAGCTGCCCGGCGCTGACCGGGAGGCAGAACAGGGTCGAGGTTTTCAGTTGTCGCCGCAGGAACACAGAGTCTGAGGGGCCAGGACCCAGGGGCTGCGGGGACCCCACGGCCAGCAAGGAGGGGCAGGAACAGAAGGTCACGGACTGGTGGGGTCAAGGTGGTGCCTAAGCCCCAGCCGAGGGGACGAGTGCGGACGAGTGTGGTCCCCCGCGGGGCCGGCCTGCAGGGGTGTGTGGGCGCGCAGGCCTTGCACAGACCCAAAGCTTCTTGGTTCTGTTTCCACCAGAAAGGCCCCCCAAGGTGAAATCAAGCCCAGTGTGTTTTAATGAAGGGGGAGCCCCCCCAGGAATCGGGTGCCTCCGTACAGAGGAGATAGGTGGCAAGAGGGGGCTCTTGCGCCCCATCCCACCTCCCTGAGGGAAGCAGCCCGAGGGCACCCCGTGCCATCCCCCAAACAGGGGCTGCTGTTTGCCACACCCACGCCCAGGCCTGGCCCCCGGGGGCTCTGCTGTTTCCCGCAGAGACTGGGCTCCCAGGGCCCCTTGCTCCTGCAGGGCACAGTGTCCCCCAAGCTGGGGAGGGTCACTTTGGGGCCCCAGGGCCCTGGGCCTGAGCACAGGCCGCTGTAGGGACCTCCTGGCAGGCTGTTCCTGACTCTCCAGGCCGGCTGGGGCCGCGTCAGGGAGGGTCCCTCAGGATCCCGCCGCGGTCGCCCCCGCCCCCACGCCTGCCAGCAGCCTCCAGGCGGGCCGGGGCCGCCTATCTCTGGGCTTCCTGGTTGAAGACTGCTGGCCCAGCCAGCCCAGCCCGGCTGCTCCGCTGGCCACTGCCTGGCCGGGCGCCAGAGGGCAGGCAGGCTGTCGCTCGCCGGGCCCAGTGACAGGCGCGGGGGCTCCGTCCCGTGCAGAGCTCGGGCTCCTGCAGCCCCCACCCCAGCCAGGCTAGCTGGACACACCGGGCGCCCCTGGGGTGGGCCGGCTTCTGCCCTCCCAGGTGGGCGGGGCGCGCGGAAGGCGGGTGCCTGAGCAGCACCTCCCAGGCGCCAGGCGCCCGGGGCCCGGGGCCGGGATCCAGGCTGGCCAGGGCACCGCTGCGGAGGAGGCACCTGCCGGCACCTGCAGCAGACCCTGCCTGTCCTGCTGCATCACAGGTGCGCCGGGAGGGGCCGGCCGGCCGGGAGGGGCGTGGGGGGAGCAGGGCCCCGGGACCACCGCGGGGACCCCTGTCTTGGGGACGGCCATCCAGGTGGCCGAGGGTGGCGCTGGCCCGGGGGCGGGAGGCAGCTAGAGCGCCACCCCGCGCGGCCCAGACCTGCGCCTTCGTGCCCGCTCCCCACCGGAAGTCAGTGGGGCGCCTCCGAGGGGTCCTGGAGGAGGGCTCCCACCTGCCCAGACAGACGAGGGCTGGCGCCAGGCCGCCGTCCGAGACCTCCCAGCACCTCCCAGTCGGACCTCTTCATCGCAGGCGGCGTTAGACGCGCTGAGGCGCGGGGGCCCGGGGCTCGGGCCTGTCACCCCAAGCTTCCAGGTCCCAGCTACCCCACCGCTCACTGGGCCGCCGCCCTGACAGGACCTCAGCTTAGCGCACCCTGGAGACCGGCTGGGTGAGCCTGGCCGGTGCCAGCCTCTCTGGGCCCTGGCTGCTCTGGGGTGGCAGGAGAGGAACTTGAGGCCCCGAGGGAGCTGATGGTGAAATCTCAGGCTGGCCTCAGGCTGGCCCAGGGCCAAAGTCAGGCGGGAGGCCAGGGAGCACCGCCCAGGGGCAGGCCCAGCAGACTTCGACTTGCATAACAGCGGTGGCCAGCGGCCTGGGTTCTGCAGGACGAAGGGAAGCCTGGCAGGGCCTCAGGTATGGTGTCTGGGGAGGCTGGGAACAGCGGCGTGCTCTCAGGGACACAGCTGCTGGGGGGGGGGGGGTGCTGACTCCAGGCCACAGGGCCACAGGCACAGATGCTGGCCCCGGGCTCCCCGGTAGAGGGAGGAAGGGGAGGATGGAGGGACTTCCCTCGCTGGGCCTGACAGCTGAGGGGCCGTCTCCCGCCTTTTCCTGTGGCACTGGACATTGCTGAGGGGAACCCAGGGCCCTGGGGCTGGCCACAGCTGCCCCGAGGCGGGGAGTGAGCCCCCAGGCCCCGCGGGCCAGCTTTCCTTTCACAGCTTCCACCCTCCGGCACTGGGGCGGAGGTGCCCAGAGGGTGGTCCCGGGAGGCAATGGCCTCCCCGGGCTCAAGGAAGGAAGGAAGCCAGACTCGCCCTTCATGGAGGAGCTGGTGGCCAGAGGGACGCTGCCTGCGTCGGGACCAGCACAGCCTCTCTGGGCTGGGACTGGGGTTGGCTCAGCCCACAGGGGAGGGTGGGTCCCAGCTGCCCCCCCCCCACACGGAAGGGTCTGAGTGAAAATCCAGGGCGATCATTATCAGAGGCCCCTGGGTGTGGGTGCCTTGGAGGCCGGGGTGTGAGCGCCACTTCGGGAGGTTGATGGGGACCCCTGGGCCCTAGGACCACACGTCCGCCCCGTCGCCCTTGCAGCCTGCACCTGCCCTTCCCGTTGCTGTCCTGGGTGAGCCTGGTGCCCACCCAGACCCTCTCGGCCCCCGCTCCTCCCTCCCGGCCCCTGGGCACAGCTGTCCATGGCCACCCAGGGAAGCGGCCCCTTCACCATCAAGTGACTTAGCAACGTGCCGCTGCGTGCAGCATCAGGACAGACAACTGGGCGGGCGGTTGAGGCTGGGGCGACCTCCCAGCCCCTGGGACACCCCGGCTGGGCCTGCCAAGGCAAGAAGCTGAAGGAGGACAGGACAGTTCGGAGCAGTGGCCGCTCCCAGGGGCGGCCCCAGCCACACGCCCCTGGCCGCCTGGCCCCGGGCTGCTGGCCTTGTTCCCCGGCCAGTCACAGAGGTGGGCAGCCACC